CAAAACGAACGAAAGAAAGAAAACAAGGAAAAAGAAGGAAAGCTTTTAGTGTGCTTTAATTTATTCTCTGAGAATTTAAATAAACATACAATGTATTTCAACCATATTTCTTCTCTAATCCCAATAAACTGTTTTTAATCTAAGATAATTCTCTTTAGTGTGCTTTAAATTTTCTTTTCCTGTTCTGGATGGTTGTTTGTTCCGGTTTCATAAAAACCATCTAAACTGATCATTTGTTCCCGGCCAATACTGTCTGATATACATATATATATATATATATATATATATAATGTATATGTATATATATATACACACACACACATATATTATATAATGTCTAATACAGAAAGACACTATGTCCTTTCCTAGAGAAGTGAACTGCATTTAATTTTGTAAAAGGCTCCAAGCACAGTAGAACGAGGGTGTCTGAGAGTCAGAGTGGAGAGGCTAGTGACTTACATGAGTAAGAAGAATCTCCAAATCGCTCAACAACTCAATGTCGAGGAAGGAATTCATTTGCATATTACTTAGCCTGCGGTACAGAGCCCTTAAAATTAGGCAAAGAGGTCAAAATCATTAGAGAAAAACAGAAATAAAATATCATTAAATCCATGAAATGATTGTTATTTCTTTTCAAGGCCTGACACTGATTTTTTGAGGGGAAAAGAAGGGCACAAATGTGCTATGAAATCACCTTGAAGTTCCTAGCAGGGCATGAGGATAACTCTTGTACTGGACAGTCTTCTCTCAGCTTCTCTTTCAGGTTCCTCTTTTTCCTAGTTTCGTTCAAACCACTAGGAAAGTTGTACTGTATTCTTTAGCCAAATATCATCTATTAATAAATAAATTGATCTAAACATTCTAAGAATAAAACATCTAATGTAAATGCTGGGGTTACAAATTAGCACTGGTCATTACATCTCAGAAGTGAGGTCAGCAGCATCTGAAAGTCAGAAGACAAGGTGTGTGTGTGTGTGTGTGTGTGTGTGTGTGTGTGTGTTTGTGTGTTTATGCGATGATCTAATAGGATTTCCCAGGCTGGCAACGGTGCCCAAGCAGGCTGGATAGAATTCATATAAATACAAAGATCTTTCATGTGTAGTGAAATGTCAATCATTTGTAGCGATTCATATTATATGGCATATTTTTATTGCAAGCATATTAATAGGACTTCTATTACATCATTTAGAACACCGCTTAAAGCGTGATATTTTGTGTTAATTATCTCAATAGGAGACCCCAGAGATACAGTTGTCATGAGTCCTCAGTCACACTGGGTGGGGCTTTTTGGTGATACATCTATCTAAGAGGTATCACACTTTGGTAAGCTACTCCTCACCTATGTTCCTACTATGTGACCCAACTAGCCTTCCTAGATCACCAGGATGGACCAAGTAAGGGTAGTCTCTCTTTTTTTCTCTTTTTTTGGTTTTTCTTTTTTAAATTGCTTTCATTGAACAGCTATATATTTTTCTCCGTTCTCCTTCCTTTTTTCCCTCTCCCTCTCTAAGTAAGGGTAGTTTCTTTGACTAATTGATGTTCTATCTGGGGTGAATTGGCACCTGTAGATCTTCCCAGGAAAAGCCACACAGTAACTTGGTAATATTGCTCCATCAAAGCAATGAAGTATGAAACTGTTTGTTTATACCTAAAAACTGTCAGCTTGATTTAAAATGCAGGTAGGTGACGGAGTGGTGCAGTTAGTTCCTTCATCAACTACCACCTTCAGACAACAACCTATGAAAGGAGACTGTGTGACTCCAGAGACTTTATAATAATACCCATCCCTTCCCCAAGTGCTACCCAGCCAATTGCTTCTTCCCCAAGTGCTACCTGGCCAGAATTAGAAGAGCTAGCTAAGCCAGCCACACCAGCCACGGTGCTCAAAGCAGGCTCCAAAATGACAACAGCAGCAGAGTCAGGGGCCTAACTGCTTCTGAAAAGCATTTTCAACTGTCCAACCATCTAACGACAGAGATAAGGGCAAGAAGAAAGAATGTCTCACATCCTCTTCTTCACAGACACACCTTCCCAAGGTGGGCAGCTCTCTCTGGCTTACCTTGTAGTCACAAGGAATAGAACAGGTATATAATATATAATGCCCTTAATTAAGACCACACATCCCGGCACAACATAAGCTGTGTCAAAGATTCACTAGGAAACAGGTCTGGGGATGTGTCCACATGGGGGTGTCCTGACATCCCTGATTGACAGGACCCTCTTTATGGTTATTTGTATGAGGAACCTTAGATTGTTTTTGTTTTTAACCCTGTCCCTAAGTTTCCATATTTTCGTCCTTGAATGCACAGACCACAGAGGTCTGCTGTGGCTATGACTTGTGTCACAAAAGATGGTTATGAAAAATGGTTAATATTTCAAAGGACAGTAGTAACTGTCTGAAAAGTCACAACTAAGTAGTAGCAAAGTTTGGGCAGAGAGCTTTAACAAAAATACATTCATTCCCACATCCTCAAAATAAGCTATCTAATAACGAGAAATAAATCACAGTAACATGCAGACATGGCACAGAGACACAGCCAAAAGCATATGAGCCTACTGCACAGCAGTCTTGAGAAATACAGACAGACTGACAGACTAGAGGGTCCATGGCACCCTGAAGAGTATTTACTACAAGGTGACACAGATCGCTTCTACACACGATTTTATAAAATAAATGAAGAGAATCCAGACTTCCAGTAGATGGAATCTGAGTTTGTGCTTTGGGGATTTTGTTTCTGTTTTGTCTACTGCTGAGCCACATCCTCAGCCTACACATGAACATTCTTCATGCTCTTTTCCTGAGAATCACCAAGTAAACTGTAATAAACCAAGCCAGACCGGCCACCTGAAGATACTGAAGAATCACTAAGCCCACAGGACTAAGCTAAAGGCCCCAAGGTAACGGAAGCGCAGCAATGACCCACACATGGAGTTCTTTCCTGGGGACCCGGCTGTGCAATAAGCAGAGCAGCCGGAAGGATACATAGTTGGGTTCTGAATACAAAGAATGACAGGTAGTCAAGCCCACACAGCTCAGGGGAGAGGCTGAGAGTTCGGTCTCAATGAAGCTGATGGGGTTGGCAGGGGAAAGGGGTGTCCATGAGCTCATGAGCAGCTCTGAGAGCTTTGCCCTAAGAGATGGGATAAACTGGAGATAGACCCACACTGAGAAAGGGATTGAAGACTGGATTTCGGTCATTTCCAATTCTGGATTTAAACCATCTGCTCCCAACCCTAATGCCACAAGAAGCAAACATGAGTGCTCTGAAAAATGCAAGATCGTCCAAAGCTTAAAATTATCTTTGTGATTGCGCACGTAGTATATGGTTCTTAAGAAGTAAGCATCTGTAAGGACCAAGAACTGACAAAAAAACCAACAAAACAGCAGACTAGACCCAAGGACCCAGAAGAGAGGAGAACCGGATCCTGGATTAATCAAGGCATGGAAATGAAAAGTACTACGGCTATTTTGGTAGTGTGTGTGTGTGTGTGTGTGTGTGTGTGTGTGTATACAGTGTGCAGAATGTGGGCAAGGAGCTAGAAACCAAATAAATAAATAAAACCATTGAAATCAGAAGTAGAATTGGCTGAAATAAGTGATAATGATAAAACTCTCCAGGTGTTTGAAAATGAAGCAATGTACTCTGTGATTTCTCAGAGAGGCAGGGAATGATTTGGAGCACATGATAGCAAAAATTCAAAATTCCAAACCTATGGTGTAAGCAAAAGTCATGGGTATTAAGTGACTTTGAGCCTTAATCCAAATATTTGGAAGCAAGAATGGTTAAAGCTCTGGCAATACCCACTGAAAAACAGGAGGTGGGTTTGTTTGTTTTGAGCCACTTGGTAGGCAAGCACTTGGCCAACTAAGCTAGCCCTACTAAAAGATGTGTTCATTCTTTGACATACCAATTCCACTATTGTATCAAAAGAAGTGTAGCCAGGCGACAGTGGCGCACACCTTTAATCTCAGCACTCAGGAGGTAGAGGCAGGCATATCTCTGAATTTGAGGCCAGCCTGGTCTACAGAGTGAGTTCCAGAATAGCCAGGGTTGTTACACAGAGAACTCCTGTCTTGAAAAACAAACAAGCAAAAAAATGTGTACAAGTATGCACCAAAAGTCTGTAGGATGTATACATAAAGACGTTATTAATGATCAGGAGCTGGAGTAAACAGACACACCAGTGGTAGAACAGAGAAATGTGCCTATCAAAGACGTAGCTGTTTAGCTTTAAAAGTGACTGTGGATGAGTCCTGAAATAACGCTGGAAAAATAAATGCCACGGAACCACATACATGGGAGGCATTCCGGTTTTACAGTGTTGATGAAAGGCGAGCAAGGCGAGCGCCGTCCCTAGCGGAGAACGCACTGAGAGTTCATGTGAGAGGGAGCGATGGAGGCGTCTGTGCTGTGGTGATAATCTGCTGCAGGACCGTGCAGTTATTACATATGATGCAGCTTGCTCATGAACAGCCCATGTGATCCCCCAATCAACGATAAACAAGATCGGTTTTAGCAGTTTGATCAAAATAATTGGAGCAATGATCAGGAAATAATCCTTTCAGAGAAGGAATGACAGACTGACAAGGTAGTTAGTGGAAATTGCAGACACCTTTTAAATGCCAGGGCACCTGATGAAAGAGCAAAACGTCTCAGAAGACAGGGAGGGAAAGTAAATTATGAGGATGCAGGTTTCCCTTGCATATATTAACTGCTAATAAAAAAGTCAGCAGTGGAAACAAAGGATCCCCAGGCTATGGCCACACAACCTGAAGGTACCCGATCTCATTTGATCTCTGAAGCTAAGCAGGGTCAGGCCCGATGGGAGACAAAAGCCATCCCAGCCATCCTTCAAACAAAGGAGAAAGACCACCCAACAGGGCAGAATGGAGATGTTTCATTCAGAGGCAAAGATGGGAGGTGATTTCTCATGATTTCTCTATGGCCTGAGCTTCTAAGCACTTGTTTAATCAAGAACCACAATGAGAACAATCTTACCCTTAGTTGCGTGGTGGAGATCTCAGCTTTTAAAATATCAGGATCATATTTAGTGCTGGATGAAGACCCTGAGAAGACTTTTAAGAGAGGAAAAAAATATCATTTATTAATTGCAATAATTGAAGCTTGGGATTTACTGATTTTAAAAGTAAGGTTTATGGACGAGACCTGGTATTCCAAACTAGCCCTGTATCCCTTAGATAGGAGGCTGTAGCAGAAAGATGGCAAAAGCAAGTGTTCCTGGGCCAAAGGGCAAGTTCAAGGACAGCTTACACCACTCAGGGAGTGGTCCAGCACAAACCTAGGATGTGTAAGGCCTTTCCTGGTCTCTGTAAAACACAGGGCCAAGATGTGTGTTCTTTTGTTCAAACAGCTTGTCCTTTTCTTTTAGGAGATAGGCTCGCACACTTATTTCAAGCCTATTTTCTTTTTTGAAACAGGGTCTTACTATGTAGCCCAGGCCAGCCTCAAAGTTGTAGTGATTCTCCTGCCTCAGCCTTCCAAGTGCAAGAATTATAGGCATGAGCCACCAGGCCTGGCTCTTTAAGCCTTTGTCATATTAAAAAACAAACCAAAACAAAGCCTCGGGATACAAAAATACTGAAAGGAACTTGTTCTGGGTCCTTCAAGAGATCTGCAGTGTAGATCCTTGGGGGGGGGGGGGGGTGTCTACAATGTTCTGAGCACATCCTAGCTGCTCCTTTAATTCAGGCCAGCTCCAGATGACTGACAGGTGAACACAGTAGAAGGAGGGGACTGAGTTGCAAGTCCCAGTTCCTCTCTAGGAGTAAGACTCAAATTTGGGCTGCAAAGAGCACCTGCTGCTCCTGCAGAGGACCTGAGTTCAGTTCCGAGCACCCATGTTGGGCAGCTTGCAACTCTCTGACTCCAGTTCTAGGGGATCAGATGCCTCTGGCCTCCTTTCCTTATTCCGACAGGCAAATTTACGCAAACAAAAGGCAACCCGGCAGAATCCGATGCCTAAACGAGAAGATTTGTACCTCAAGTGGGGATGGGCATTTCCCTGAGCAATCTGTCGGGAACCCTCATCTCTCATGGCCTGGAGGATTTTTGCAGAGGAGGGAAAGGGGCTCAGGATTTATCTCCAGAAGTGTGAGTGGCTTTTGTTCCTCTACGATCTCATCTTCAGTTCTGGAGTGTGACCGGCCACCCAGTACTCACGGCTTGTGCGAGAACTTGATTTTTCCTTGTAGGCGTCATTTAAGCGGACGTACTCGTCGAGGGCCAGCGCCAGCCTCTGTTCCTTCACGTGGTACAGCTCCTTCTGTGTCCTGAGTGCATCCTGGGCCACAGAGAGATAGTCCTTGAGCATCCTCTCCTGCTCGCCCCGCCACTGTTTTCTCGGATCTTCAATCTGTGTGGTTTCTGAAAAGACAGTAGGTGGAGTCTGTGTTAAGATTTAATTATGTTTGTGAGACTATTCACCGAGGAACTAGCTAGTTTAAATTCCTATATCCTCTAAAGTGTCTACCAGACACTTCTTTAAAGTGTCTAAAACTTGGATATGGGGTTGTTTTCTTCTATTAACCCCAAACCACCCTTGGTCCTCCAACTGCAGTCCTCGACAGAAATGCATCCTAACCATACGCCCCTCATACAGATGGCACCCATCAATCATCCTTTTGAGAATCCTCGGGTGCCGAATACCCAGAAAACAAGAGCTAAATTGTCATCAGCATGCAAGGCCTTGGATACTGTGAGCCAAATGGACTTTGGAAGGACCAGACTTACACTGACTTAACACAGGCCTCCTGCCCTCTCACCCAGTACATGAGTGCTACCCCTGGCCAGGTCCATGGACCATCACTGTCTCTCAAATTCATTTTCATACCCCAAAAAATCAAGAGAACATTGAAGTATTCATAGATATTTTATTCAGTTATTATACATCTATTGAATTTATAAATATTGGAGCTTATATTTCTTAATGGGCATTTTATTTTTCTATTTTTTATCAATAAAAATTCATTTTTATTTTATAAAAAATATCAATCACGCTGTGGTAGATGAGCAAGTTTAAAACAATTAAAAACCAAAGCCACCTTGCTCTTGCTTTAAGGAGAAAGTCCGTTAGTGACTGTGAAAGGTCTCCAAACCGATGATAACCTCTGCCAGTGAAAGATACCCTGGGATGGCTCACCCTAACCATTTTATTTTATAATAAATGCATCTGCCACACACTGGTGTCTTACTTGGGGTAAATGGCGGTTACAAGGCAAAGTGCAGGGTCTGTGCCTCTGCAAGAACGCTAGTAGTTGGCTAAGAGACACTTGTGCGAAGTCACAACACACATCGGCCAGAGCGCGGTATTTACTCGCTCGAGAATACCTGCCCGTAGACACTCATTAGCGGCTCTGTTCACGGCACACAAAGGCCACCCATTGCAGTATGTAAATTGTGGTTTATCTGTACAGTAAACACTATTCAGAAATAAAAAGAGATACAGACAATATGTATGTGTGTATCAAATCCCAGGCAACAGTTATTGCATAACCCACTTATACGAAATCCCGGTCAAAGGCAAATCAAATCCAATGACAGAAAAGGGATCAGTGACTACCTGAGAAGTACTTGCTACAGTGGAGGCCAAATGTCCTTTCTGAGGGCACAGAAACACTCCATATCTTGGTTATCACAAAGGTTACGTGGTATATATCCGTCAAAACTCATGAACTTAAAATGGATGCAACTCATTATATGGTACATCTGCATAGAGTCAGTCTGAGGAATTTGGAATGTAGCTCACTGGTAGAGTGCCTAACACACACACACACAACCCCTTCTCCCCCAGTAGTGCAAAAGAAAAAGCTACTTTAAGCAAATAAAATTTAAAGTTGATTACATATACTTTTAAGAACTAAGATGAATAACTAGCACGTTACGGAGATGCAGAGCTAGAAAAATGGCCCAGTGGTTTAGGACATTTGTTGCATCTGCAAAGGACCTAGGTTTAATTCCCAGCACCCACATGGTAGCTCACAACCATCTGTAACTCCAGTTCTGGGGATCTGACACCCTCTTTTGATCTGAGTATCAGGAATGCACATGGTACACGCACACAGACATATACACACGTGGTACACACTCACAGACATATACACACGTGGTACACGCACACAGACATATACACACGTGGTACACACTCACAGACATATACACACGTGGTACACACTCACAGACATATACACACGTGGTACACACTCAAAGACATATACACACGTGGTACACACTCACAGACATATACACACGTGGTGCAGTGCACAGACATATACACATGTGATTCATGTACACAGACATACACACACGTGGTGCTGTGCACAGACATATACACACGTGATTCATGTACACAGACATATACACACGTGATTCATGTACACAGACATATACACACGTGATTCATGTACACAGACATCTACACACGTGATTCATGTACACAGACATCTACACATGTGCAGGGAAGGCTGGGACCTCTTGGGGCTAGGCGAGGCCCTGGGTGACTCACAAAAGTGTCTAGTTTGGTAGGACACTGTAACCACTGCCTCACACCTACAGTCCTGGCTTCATAGTCACTGGCTTCTAAAAGCCGAGCTTTCTCCAAGGCACAATTTCTGAAATACTCATTTCAAAACTATGAATATTTTAATACACAAAAGGCGAACATCTCATGTAATTATTGGGAGTAAATACGTGCTACAGCCACTGTCTCGACAGATGCCCTGAATGGGCAGACCCTCCACGTCAGAATCTTCAAGGACAAGACAATGTGGAGCAGCCGTCTGGGGAATATGGCAGATGCACAGAGATCACCGAAGAAGAGCCTAACTTGTCAGCTGGATATTTATACACTGGCTGTAACACAGCCTCTAATATCCTAATGGTGTTATTAATTTCCAGTATTCGCACACATAGGGTTGTACTCTGCCTCAGAGTACAGAAAGCATCACGTGACAAATAGGAATTTATGGTTCTAATGTTTCCATCAGGCTGGAGAGGGGACAGTACTGGGCTCCCTTTCTTTCTCCACCTCACCCCTTCCACCACAAGGGAGCCAGCTGCCATGGCGTGGGTGCCCAGTGAGAAGCTCAGTCTGAAAGGGTGAGAAGGCCTGTGGCCAGCAGCAGAAAGGAATACTGCCAAGACCCACAGCCTGAATTTCGAGCAGTCTTCTCCAGCAGAGCCCGGGATAAGTGCAGCCTGACCCTGGCTACGAGTTAATAAAAGCTGTAGCCAGGACAGCTAAGCCTTACCTGCTTCAAGATCCAAAGAAACTGTACGATAACGAATATTAGTAATTTGTCATGATGAGCTAAGTAACCATTAAACCAATGAAGTGAAGAGGTGCAAAGACTTGGATATTTTTAGTTAGAGACGTAAGCAGGCAGCCCTCAGGTCTAGCCAGTCATATGCGCCCTCATGTTTGGGAACGGGCACACTTAAATACATATTTGTCAATAGCTAAGGGGCAGAATCTGCTACAGCATTAACACTCAAATTAATGAATTAAAACAACACTAAAGATGAAGATAATAACTGTGTTTTGGATGAGGCTGAGAAGCACTCGAGAAGACTGACTGGGATTTGTTACAACAGAAGCAGGAAACATTTATATTTCCGAAATATTGCACAATTCAAACATGAACCACAAAGAGAACTCCCAAAGGCATCTTTGAAGGTTTCATAAAGCAGGGCTAGGCTCATCTCCATCTGTTATATTTGCTGAGTAGATTTGAAAAGAATATTTATTAAATGTAAACACACAAGAAGAGTGTTTTACAAATGTGGTATTTTTCTTTTTTATTAAGACCTTCTGGCCTTGGGAGACCACTATATCATAACGCAATGTAATTTGCATGCTGTCTGCAATATTAAAGAAGTAATCTATTACACACTTTAAACATTACATATCTCAAGAGAATTCACATCCCATCAGTTTCATCGACGTGGGACTCTACAGACAGGGAACACAGAAGCTTATCACGGAAGACGACATCGTACTTCAGAGAATCGTGTTTCTGCCTATAATGCAGATTTCCATTCTTCCTGCTGTGCTCAGAGGAATGAATGAAATAAATATGAACAACTTTTCTCATCGGCCTTTTTAGAAAGTATCTGCACAATTTTCTTGTTGCCCATTTCTTCCACGTACAATTATTAAGCACTTACTGGATTCATGAGATAGAATAAGATGTTGGAGGAAATCATAGTGCACAAAGTAAACAAAACCCCACAAATTTAGACTAGAATAACTGTCTTTAAAGAAGGATGGTTGAGAATATAGCAATTTAGAGCATTCAGGCTTCTTCTGATTGAAAGTCTGATGCCAGGGAATCCAGCTATAATTAAATAAGAGACAAGAAATTCCAGCCATTTACCTAGCTCCGGAGCTCTTCTCCAGTAATGACAATGGCCCAGACAGTTCCTTCATTATCTCACCAAGCCTGCTGAAGACTTTGGCTCTAGCTTCTTCTTCCCCTTCCATCCCCTACCTAAACTCCACCACAGGCTATCTCTTTCCAGTTTACGCAACCAACCCTAGAGGATGAGCCGGCGCTTTCTGCAGGTGGCACAGGGACACTTCAGCAGAGAGGGACTCCCACCTGACCCCTGCTCTCAGGGCGACCTCCACCCTTCCTTCTCCTCACACCTCCCAAGCCACAGTGAGCCACAAAAGAATCTATGCAAACTCGTGCAAGGATCTTTACTACATTTTAGACCACTTGACAGAGATGTGAGGTTCTCCTGCCAAAGGGCAACCCCTTTGATATGACAGCATCGAAACCTTTTGTAGTGAAATTTTCATATTACATGAAAGAAAGAAATTTAGAAAATGTGCCAGGTAGTGATGGTTCACGCCTTTAATCCCAGTACTCATGAGGCAGAGGCAAGCGGATCTCTATGAGTTCAAGGCCAGCCTGATCTACAAGAGTTAGTGCCAGGGCAGCTAAGACAGTTGCAGAGAAACCTGGTCTCGAAAAACCAAAAAAGAAAAAAAAAAAAAAGAAAAAAAAAAGAAATTTAGGAAACACTATAATTGTACTTAAAAGCAAAGCATAACATAATTAATAACATAATTATTTTAAAACCCCAAGTATGAACATGTTTTGTTATAGGAAAAGGACTGAGAAGATGCACATCTGAGAATCAGGAAATCGGTTAGCCTAGGCCTTCTGAACACGGGGCTTTCCCTTATCCCCATATCTGTTTTTCTGCACACTACTTTTGTAAATCTATAACGCTGCCAATTGCTGAGCTGGGAAAACAGAGAAGGAAAGAAAGCAAAGGCACGAGTGAGAAAAAGCATCGTGAGAACAGATGAGAGGATTCTGGATTATTTTCCATTTAGTTTTCATAAGGGCCCAAATGTG